GCTATCAACCAATTAATGGAATAAGCTTAAATAAATGATAATAATTAAATTGTTTCTCGTTTTAGCTTTCAAACGATGACTCGTTCAAATAGATTTCAATTCTGGAAATAATGAAATTATTGAGAAGATTCCTTGGAGCAATATTACTCTTATCCTCTTATGAAGAAATATAGGAAAAATTTGTATTTATAGTTTCTGCTAAAAGGGTCTGTTAACTCTCTTTTTTTTGCGTAATTTTATTCCAACTAGGTTCACAAATTGCCTATTTTTTATTTCAAATTTCAAATCAAATGATGATTCTAAAAATGTCGCGGCTTTGTAATCTTTTTACAAATCTCAATTTCTGGTATTTGCGGTTTCACAAAAATAAAGGCCTTTTCCTAAAAACAAATTGTGCTATAATAATTACTTGCGAATTGTGCTAATGTTGAAGTTTTTTTTTTTAACAATAGTAAATTTTTTTTCAAAAAACAGCTTCTTTTAAAGTTAACGATGTAATATAAGTTAGTACAGAAGCATTTCAATAATTTTGTCATACCCCTTTATATTCATGTTCACCAAGACTAATTAGCAGTTTTTTTTTCATTTTAGGATATAGTCCGGTGCTATGAGATACCTGCAAGTGACGTAGTGTGTGTATCTCGCTTTTGATTGGGTGTTGAAACGTGACTTTTGTTTACGTCAGTAACTGTTCTTTCCATTCTGTTTTGAGTAAGGCAAGCTCTTCAAGTATCAGTTCTCTTAGGTGACACATTTTATATTCTTTTACGAAGATTCTTTCACAAAGATTTCAATTCTTGCAGTATATTTTTCGTAACAAATTAATTATGCATCGAAGTTGCCAGATACGCAAATTAAAAATATAGCATGATAACCATAAAATACATAAACAAATAATAATTCTATGTTAAAATAAAAGGCGTAGATGATAAAGAATTATATTTCAACAAATTCCATGCGTGATAAGGAGCTTTATTTAATTGACTTCACGTTAATTAACATTTTAACTAACTTATGTGGAGAAACTTAGCTCAACTTTAACACGCCATTTTACTTATAAACGATCAGCTGACATAGACGTCATAGGTCACATGTGTTGGTATTGTGATCTTTTTCTTGAAGTACAAGTACCCAGTTATCTTATAACTATTATTAATTCTTGGTAGCCACGGTTTAGTACTCATAAATAGGACTAGATATGAAATGGTTTTAGAATTACATTTTGCTTATATCTGTGTTTCAAACAGCCCTAACAGAAGAGAAACGTTCCGTTATAATTCGAACATTTTGTTTTTCAATAAAATTTCAATAAATAAAACAATTTTTAAACTGTTTAGAACTTAGAACTTAAAAAAAATAAAAGTTTGAAACAAATATTTTGCTTACCGTAATAGACTGAGAATATCATGAATATAGCTTGAAACATTACCATCCTCCAAGCTTCGACCACTACGAGAACTATTGTAGATACCCCAACGCCATATTCCCCAAAAAACAACCGATTCATCTGGAACATTTAATTTGTCTGACTCCAAAAGTCTTAGTAAAGTGTTTTTACTCAGATTCAACACTGAATCTGATGCGAAAACGGTGTAGGCATGTGATTCAAGAAGAGTGAAGCAGGCCGTTTTCAAGGCACAATCGTCTGTCAATGGCAGCTCATGTTCGAATCCATTCAGCATTTGGCAGGCTTGTTGTATGGTTAGATCTGTTATTACCATTTCTTCAAGATAATCTCTCAGACTCTCTAGATCATATTTTTCAGCAGCTGCTATCAGATTCGCTGTTACTTTTGTAGGTAATGTCCCAGAGTAAATATATCTGAAAATAATTTTGAGTTGTATTTGAGCAAATGTAATAACCATAGAAAGTATATGTGTAAAGTTTAAATTGTTTAATAAAAAGCAAAAAAATATGGCTTAGGTAATAAAAATGCGTTTATATTGGTCTGAGGTACAAGCAATTAATAAATAAAAATATATGCTTTATGTGCTGTATAAAATTTTCTGAAATCGATGTAACTTCTAAGAAAAAGATTAAAAAAATGCATATAACTATCAAACATTTAATTGTTCAGGATCACAAAATTTTAAAAAGCTATTTTTTGAAAGTTAAAGAATTGAAGATTTTAGGATACATAATAGTTTATAATAGTGTTAATACATAACATAAATTTAGGATGCATAGAAAGATAATTTTGCTTAATCCTGTGCATTAATAACAAAAGATCTTAAAGGCTTGAAAATGAGTGGATCTCATGTTTTCCGAATATACAGGAAAATTAAAAATTTCTATGTAATTAATTTTAATTGATCAAAGCATGATTCCATTTCTTAATATCAGTAGAAAAATGATGGAACTAACCAGCGTTTGCTTTACATGGAGAGGAAAGCCACGAAAACCTCCCACGGTTAGCCTAATGGCAAGGAGACTTTAACCCATGATACGTCTTCTACGGAGGATATTTTACGTCAACAATGTGGTCGGGTGAGCCGAGTGCGAAATTCGTATCGACCACCCATCGCTGGGATTCGAACCAGGTTCACCTCATTGGAAGGTAAAAGTTCTATCCCCTGAGCCACCACCGTTATATCAGAAACTACTAACAATTTTCTCTACAGCGATTTTATGTAACTTGGATTTGCTTTTTTTTTAAAACTAGCTACTTGCTAGTCGACGAGATCGCGCTCTGATCATTTAGTTCAAACTTTCAAATTGTGATTAGTAGCTTTATTTAAATCAAAGTTAGTTACTTTTGCACAAAAAAAGCTTTTTCGCGCTTCAGTTTCTCTTTCAATAAAGTAAGACATACCTGAGTATTGCCACTGCAGTTTCTGGTTCAAGTCCTACAATAGTGATCGGCGAAGCATAGGCATCGTCTGCTCTTTGTTCTAAGATGTCCCGAAGCACACTAGAACGAGCATTTAACAACAAGGAATGTCCCGGAAATCTCCATGAATATCCATTGTGTCTCACTTTCAAAACAACATCGCTCATCTGCTCACTTAGAACCAAATTTTCTGCCATATTTCTAATCCAAATAATCTCTGAAAACTAGGGACTGGAATAATCTGTAAAATAAAAGCATATTTGAACTTCATAGTGATGTTAGGCACAAAGCCTCCTATAACAGAAAGCAGTGGCCGGAAAAACTACATTTTCTTTTTAGTTAACTACAACTATTACTACTTTATTACAATGGGATACCAGCAAATGACATAGTGTGCGTAGCTGATTGGTTGGTGAAACGTGGCATTTGTTTGCTGTAGCGACTGTTCTTTAAATTCTATTTCGAGTAAACCAAGCCAGTCAAGTATCAATTCTTTTAAGTGACACATTCACAATTCTTTCGCGAAGGTTCTTCCTCCAAAATTTCAATTCTTTCGCGATATATTTACTCAGAGACTTAACACAAAGATAGGCATGAAGCCTAAAACAAATTACTTATAAAACGAAATTGCTAGATAAGCAAAACAAAAATATATCATGGTTACAATAAAACATTTAAACAAATAATAAATCTAAGTTAAGTAAAAGATGTAAACGAGAAAGAACTATATTTCAACTAATTCGATGTGCGATAC